TATTTCAAGAAAATTAGGTCAGTGTCCCAGGATAACACCCACACTAGTTGACTAACACCCAGGTACACATTTACTGATGGGTAAACATAGACAACAGGTGTAAGAAACACACCTAATGTTTCTACCCTGGCTGGGAATCGAATATTTACCCAAAATCATATATGGCTAACCCAAGCCAGGTACTAGAAATAAGCCATGTTGACTTTTTTTGTGTTATCCTAGGTTCTCCACACACATGCTGCTGTGTGTGATAATCTGTAGAGAGAAAATAACTTTTTTGTTTCATGTTTATGGTGGAGTACAAGTGTATATCATAGTTAGCCCTGTGCTATACTCCATTTTCTCTAATATAAGCCCCCAAGACAAGGATAGGAGAATGATATTTGTTTACCATATCCTCTTCATAACTCTGTCAAACTGCTCGGTATGATGCCAAATATTATTTATTCTGGAGTATTCAACATGTTTTATGTTATTTATATTGTTTATTATGTCATATTAGATCAATTGTGATAGGCAAATAAGCTGTAGTGTTGATATTAGCGTAATAATAAAGCAATTTCTCCTGCTTCATGAGACTGAGTTCATGACAATCGACAGTGGCTTCAAAGCCACCTTATCTTTAATGGATAATGTACTGTGTAGGTGCTTTACATAATGAGAAGCATTTCTTTTATTCATTGGATCCATGGCTAGGGCTAAAAGTAAGCAGGTTAAAACAATAAATGGAGAAAAAGAAATTGGAATAACTTATGCAGCAAGTAGCATCACCAAACAGTATCAGCAGGTTGGTGTGGCGACCCTGGAAATTTGAAATTATGCTAGCCAAAATTAGTGCCGAATAACTGAAGGAACCGAATAACTGATTGCCGGATTTGTGAGGGAGGACTGTATTAATATGTGTCTACTTTTGGTTCATTCACGTACGTTTGTGAGAGTTTGTAAAACATTTACCTCAATATTTTTTTATGATAATTACCTCACAATACAAATACTCTTACATTGTGTACAAGTTGTACAAATTAGTACAGAATAACCAAACAGCAACACACCATTTTTAGAGTGAATGAAGATATTATTATTATTATTATTTTTTTTTTTTTTTTTTCAACACACCGGCCGTATCCCACTGAGGCGGGGTGGCCCAAAAGGAAAATAAAATAAAAATAAAAAGCACTAAACCCACAAGGGTTGTGAATTGCTATATATAGAGTGAAAGCATGCGAAAAGAATATTTTTCTACAGTTATCCTCCAGTTTGACTAGAGAAAACGTAATTCTTCCGGCACTACCTACACAGCCGCTTTGTAAACAAGTCTCATATTTGTCAATTTTTATTCTGTGAGTGTATGTATCATGTTTATATGCTATGTAATGGGTTTCATATATAATTTTGAGGAAAATATCATAGATGGATTAATGAAAATGCCTATATTAATATAAAATAAGATATTTAGTGTGCCCAAGAGTGATTATTACTATGTAGTATTGGCGTCATGAGTAGAGTGACTCTTAGCGATTTTAATGTGTACCTGCACACCAGCACAGTGTGTAAGTATATTTAGGTACAGGTACACATAAGTATAATTATCAGAGTACACATAAAATATGCAGTAACTTTAAAACACTTGAAATTTTGGAAAGTTTCATGATAAAATAGATGTGGTCACGGAGAATGTAAACAAACTGGGTGGGGCGCGCCGTAGTTGAAAGACCGCTTGCCGTATAGCAAATTTTGGTCATAATTTGACATCACCGTATTAGCAGAACGCCGTAAGGCGGAATGCCGTAAAGCAGGGCATTACTGTATATCTCTGTCTATATCTCTGTCTCATATGTACACATAAGTACAGTTATTATACACAGTGTAAATTACCTAGGATAACCCAAAAATTCCAGGCAAAGATAAGTAGACAGATAGACAGACAGACAGACAGATGGACAAACATGTTTGTGTGTATCAATGAAAACAAATAAAGCCAGCGTTCCCCCGAGTGCCCATTTATCAAATGTCACTGAGCTGATAACAGTTGTCATAACACCATTCTTCAAGGAGTGTGATATACGTATACTCCAGGCAGACAGAAAGGCAGATAAGCAGAGACAGACAGGCAGACAGACAGACAGAGACAGATAGATAGATAGACAGACAGATAGACAGATAGACAATACATGTTTGTGTGTAACAGTAATAACAAGTACAGCGAGGGTTAGCTGGAGCAGTGGGCATTTATCAAATGTCACTGGGCTGTCAACAGTATAGGGATGCCTTTCATAACACCATGCTTCAAGGTATACGCCAGGGTATCTAAAATATTGGTGGGACCTATAAATACAGTGGACCCCCGGTTAACGAACTTTTTTCATTCCAGTAGTATGTTCAGGTGCCAGTACTGACCGAATTTGTTCCCATAAGAAATATTGTGAAGTAGATTAGTCCATTTCAGACCCCCAAACATACATGTACAAACGCACTTACATAAATACACTTACATAATTGGTCGCATTTGGAGGTGATCGTTATGGGGGGGTCCACTGTACTTTGTATATACGTATTTCTAGACAATAGTAAATAACCCAGTCAGGTGTAAATGTTCACCTATCAATGTGTTTTTGACTATTTGAGTACAATTTCAGTTCCTAATAGTGTCAGAACAAAGAATGGCTATGAAATCACAAGAACTATTATAAATTGTAATTATCAGAACATAATAAATATATAAATTAAAATAAAAACGAGAAAAAAGGTATATTGGCAACCCTTGTGCAAGTGGCAGATGTCGATGTTGCCGTCAGGTGAGAATCCAGAGCCAATTTCACGATCTTATATCTCCGTAAGTACTGACCCAAATTTTTTTTTAATCCTATAACATGTATAAAAATGTGCTCTTCATTTAAAAAAAAAAATTATTTTTCAAAATATTCGGAGTCCCACACGAGTGAACATAGATCTACGTTTGGACAGTTTAAGGGTTAAAAGAATTAGAGGTAAGACAGAGAGTAGGATTGCAGATGAGCAAGGTTTTAGAGTGGGTAGGGGATGTGTAGATCAAGTGTTTACATTGAAGCATGTATGTGAACAGTATTTAGATAAAGGTAAGGAAGTTTTCATTGCATTTATGGATTTAGAAAAGGCATATGATAGTGGATAGGGGAGCAGTGTGGCAGAGGTTGCAAGTATATGGAATAGGTAGTAAGTTTCTAAATGCTGTAAAGAATTTTTATGAGGACAGTGAAGCTCAGGTTAGGGTGTGTAGGAGAGAGGCAGATTACTTCCCGGTAAAAGTAAGTCTTAGTCAGGGATGTGTAATGTCAATATGGTTGTTTAATATATTTATAGATGGGGTTGTAAAAGAAGTAAATGCTAGGGTGTTGGGGAGAGGGGTGGGATTAAATTATGGGGAATCAAATACAAAATGGGAGTTGACACAGTTACTTTTTCCTGATGATACGGTGCTTATGGAAGATTCTAAAGAAAAGTTGCAAAGGTTAGTGGATGAGTTTGGGAGGGTGTGTAAAGGTAGAAAGTTGAAAGTGAACATAGATAAGAGTAAAGTGATGAGGGTATCAAATGATTTAGATAAAGAAAAATTGGATATCACAATGGAGAGAAGGAGTATGCTAGAAGTGAATGTTTTCAGATATTTGGGAGTTGACTTGTCAGCGGATGGGTTTATGAAGGATGAGGTTAACCATAGAATTGATGAAGGAAAAAAGGTGAGTGGTGCATTGAGGTGTCTGTGGAGACAAAAAACTTTATCCATGGAGACTAAGAAGGGAATGTATGAAAGTATAGTAGTAACAACACTCTTACATGGGTGTGAAGCTTGGGTTGCAAATGATGTAGCAAGGAGGTGGCTGGAGGCAGTGGAAATGTCCTGTCTAAGGGCAATGTGTGGTGTAAATATTATGCAGAGAATTTGGAGTGTGGAAATTAGGAGGTGTGGAGTTACTAAAAGTATTAGTCAGAGGGCTGAAGAGGGGTTGTTGAAGTGGTTTGATCATTTAGAGAGAATGAATCAAAGTAGAATGACTTGGAGAGCGTATAAATCTGTAGGGGAAGGAAGGCAGGGTAGGGGTCATCCTCGAAAAGGTTGGAGGGAGGGGGTAAAGGAGGTTTTGTGGGTGAGGGGCTTTCACTTCCAGCAAGCATGTGTGAGCGTGTTAGATAGGAGTGAATGGAGACGAATGGTTTTTTGGTCCTGATGAGCTGTTGGAGTGTGAGCAGGGTAATATTTAGTGAAGGGATTCAGGGAAACCGGTTATTTTTATATAGCCGGACTTGAGTCCTGGAAATGGGAAGTACAATGCCTGCACTTTAAAGGAGGGGTTTGAGATATTGGCAGTTTGGAAGGGTATGTTATATATGCTTCTAAACTGTTGTATCTGGGTGCCTCTGCAAAGACAGTGATTATGTGTGGGTAAGGTGAAAGTGTTGAATGATGATAAAAGTAGTTTCTTTTTTGGGGATTTTCTTTCTTTTTGGGTCATCCTGTCTTAGTGGGAGACAGCCGACTTGTTAAAAAAAAGCAAATAGTTCCTTATACACAATTCAACAAGCTGCTATTATTATGCCCTATATCATATTTTGCATGTTTATTTATCCTCTTTTTCTGAAAATACATGTTATCTATTATCAAAACTCTTTTTATACATAGTTTAATTAGAGGTACCTATTATCATTTACCCCTGGTACTCCAAATTTACTTACTGTGCTATCTATAACAGTTTCTCCCACTTTAGCATTTGGGTCCCCCACAACAATTACTTTATCACTTGGTTCAAAACTCCCTAAATACTTGCTTTCCCAAAATCTCTCTCTACTCTTTTCCCCACTTACAGAAAATGGGTACACTCTGAGCCATGCCTTAATTGATGGTATGGTACTATAAAATGTAGTTACAATACTGTATAAATAGACTAGGCTTTGGTGTAAATAAGTTTTTTGCTATGTTAAGATGATATTTCATATATTTATTAAAATAAGTATCTTTAAAACAGCTGCTAGAATGGATCCGCACAATTGTTGCCAATCGTATAGGTGAGAATGGAAAGAACTGGACACACTACTTCTCCATGCATAACAGTGGCACATACAACAACCAGTGGATGGTGGTTGACTACAAACTATTCAAACCCACAAAACACATCAGGTAAGGAAGAGCAATCATTTAAATAATGTAAATGCTTTAAAACTGCTGTTCTTTGTATAGGATATCATTTTATAGCTAAGAAGAAGCAAAATTTTATATCACATTGTACATATTTCCATTTTTCCTTCAAGGAAATTACTTTAGTTTGAATTTTCAGTATTTTCTGTAAAATAAATTAAAGATATGAATTCTAAATTCAAACTATACATAAGATGATAGGTAAATTTTGCTGTTACCACTAACATCCACTATACTCTACATACATGTGACTGTATATGCATGTGTGGCAAACTAATCATGGTTTCCTTCTAATCTCTTAATAAATTTTGTCCTTGTGTTTCTTTTCATGGAAATATAAACACATATGCAGTATAATGTGATCCTTTACTGACAACATTTCGTCCACACAGTGGGCTTTTTCAAGTCACACACGGATCTGTTTGTGACTTGAAAAAGCCCACTGTGTGGGCAAAACGTTGTCAGTAAAGGATCACATTATACTGCATGTGTGTTTATATTTCCATTGTGTCGGTATTTTATACCATTTATTTCCATTGTGTTTCTTTTCATGTTCTGTCATGGGGAAATGGGTTAGAATCCTTCCTCTGAATGCAGTGAACATCCTAAAAGGTGGCTAAAATGCCAGAACAAGAAGCTAATAACCCTCTTCTGTATTAATTAGTAAAAAAGATGAAGAAATTTTAGAGTTGGGTTGGTTGAATGTGTGTAAAAAGTTCTGTGATTTATTTTTTGAGGATGACAAAGAATTTTTGTATTGGTTTCACTTTACAAAATGCACATCCTGTACTATGATTATCTTGAGTATAATTGCAAAGTCAGTGAAAATGAGTCCCTAAATTGATACAAGAATGCTATAGGATTAAGAAGGATCATAAATCACAGCTGTTTTTAGAATGGAATTCCTGAAATATACACAATTTTTTTTTTTAACATCAGTTGTCTCCCACCAAGATAGTCACACAAAAGAAAACATTAATCATCATTCATTCAATAGCTGTCTTGCCAGAAGTGAACAGACATTACAGCTCAGGTGACCCTCCAAACTGTTGTATTCACACTCCTCTTTCAGAGTGCAGACATTATATTTGCTGCCTCCAGGACACCAGTCTAGTTAGCCAGTTCCCTGAATCCCTTCATAAATGTAACCTTCCTTACACTCCAACAGCACATTAAATCCCCCAAGCCACTTGTCTCCTCTCTCAGTGACCTAAAGTGTTAACACATCCCTGCTGGATACTGAAGCACATACCACTTAAAACCACCCTCACACCCACCCTGGATTTATACACCCTCTTGGTCCTATTTTGGTCCATCCTTCTAAATGCCCAAAACATTTCAACAATCCCTTGTGCATTCTGTTTAATACTTTTCATAATCCTATATATTCTTCTTGCAATGATATTGACTCCAAACGTTATTCTCAAAACTTGATATTTCTATTGCCTCCAGCCTACTTGCTGCAACAATGAAAGCCTGTCCCTCCATAGATAAACATCTTTCTCTCCACATACACATCAACACTCCATCTACCATTTTTTTTCCCCTTCATGTATATATATACAGTGGAACCTCAAAAATCGAACTTAATCCGTTCCAGGAGCTAGTTCTAAATTCGAAAAGTCTGAAATTTGAAGCAATATTTCCCATAAGAAATAATGGAAATACAATTAATCCGTTCCAGAAACCCAAAAATATTCACACAAAAAATACTTTTTATAGAGATTAATTACAGTTTTACATACAACAAATACTATAGTTTTTAATTATGTATAGTAATACATATAAAATAACATTTTTACTTACCTTTATTGAAGATTGGTGATGGCATCTGGAAGATAGGGAGGAGGAGAGAGGGAGTTGGGGTTAGTGTTTGGAAGGAGAATCCCCCTCCATGAGGACTTCAGGTAAAGCCTTCTCTGGGGTTACTTCCCTTCTCTGTCTTTTAATGCCACTAGGACCAGCTTGAGAGTCACTGGACCCCTGTCTCAAAATAACTGTCCACAGTCCTCTGTTGCTGGCGCCTCTTTAACATTTCCCTAAAATGGGACGTGGTTCTGTCACTGAACTTGTTGCAAAGATGGCTTGTTTCAGCTTGCTCAGGGTGGTACTTCTGCACAAACATTTGGACATCATTCCACTTGGCACAGATCTCCTTAATCTTTGAAGAAGGCACCTCATCCACTCCCTATATTAACACCTTTTGCAACATCAGCTTCCTTGATTTGTTCTTTCTTTGACGGGATAGAACCAATGGTCGACTTGTTTTTCCCATACATCCTGGCAAGCTCAACAAGTCTCACACCACTCTCATACTTCTGTATTATTTCCTTCACATCTATGGTGTTTCTCACTTTCTTTACCACAGGGGTACCACTAGCAAGTTTCTTTGGGCCCATGACAGCTTATTTCACAGTCCTACAAGCACTAAACACAACGAAATAATCGTAAAATGCGTGAATGAGAGCGCAGGTTAGTGTTCACTTGAGCATAAACAAAGCTAGACTGCTCACGGCGCCTGCGCAGGGATGTGGACAAAGCGGGCCGGCAGACAGGTTCCGTACCCGGCGGTCCGAAAATAGGGGCGCGTTCGATAATAGGGACACAGTTTGTCCGAAAAAATGGTCCTATTTTTGAAACGTTCGATTTTTGAGGTTCCACTGTACAGTGGACCTTCCCTTTTTGTCGATCTCTGTTATTTCTGATTTCCATTTTCGCCGACATTTTTCGTCAAAATATTGGTTCCGTTTTCATCGATTTCCTCCATTTTTGTCGATGGTATAGAACCTGTCCAGTCCCCAGCGCACAGACAAAGCCGCCTCCCACATGCATTCTCAGGCAGTGTTGCGTTGTTTCTCAGTGAGTGAACATATCCTGCAAGGTCACACAATACATTTCGTAATACGTAATCCATTGTTTTGGGCACTTGTTTATTGTATGTGCTGCTAAATAAGCCACCATGGCCCCAAAGAAAGCTCCTAGCATCAGTCCTTTGGTAAAGAAAGTGAGGAACACAATAGAATTAAAGAAAGAAATCGTAGCAAAGTACCAAAGTGGAGGAGGAAGAGAGAGAGGGAAGAGTGTGATTCAGTGATTCTACAATATGTACGATACTAAAGCAGCACGAGTCGATAAAGGTCATAACGCCAGCCAGCGATAAAGTGTAGCATTAACAGTGTAGCAAGTAAGTTAAGCGATTAATTGATAGAAAAATGACAGCATGAACCTAACTCCTACAAAGTTGTTGAAGTTATATAGGGCTACTGACAGTACCGCTGCCTCTGCTGCTGCCTGCACCACCACTACGTATGGCTTATTCTCTCAGTGGCCCTTATAACACCCAACAACAACAATAACAGAACATCACTCATGACATACATAATGATTTATTTTATTCATTCTAGAGTATATGTCATGTTTCTATGTGATTAATATTGTTTATTATGTCATATTAGTTGAATTGTGATAGATAAATAAGCCAAAGAGCTGATATTAGTGTTATATTAAAGCATATTGTCCTGTCTCCAACAATAAACTTGCCTCCGTCTCCCCTCCGCCCCGTCTGCCATACACCAACAAGAGTCTTCGATAGTAAAGGTAAGTGTGATGTTAAATGTTCCTTTATACATTTTATTAGTGCTTTATATTTATTTGTCATTCTTTTTTGCATGTAAATCTGTATTTAAGCTAGGGAAGTGACCTCTGATAAGGACTTGGTAACTAGAGTACTTATGGAGGTAGACAATAACCTCTCTTCCCTCTACCCTCCTCCCTGTCTTCCATCCATCAACAACAGCCTTCAATAAAGGTAAGTGTCATGTTAAATGTTCATTCTTTTGTGCATGTAAATCTTTTTTTTTTTTTTTTTTTTTTTTTTTGTGTGTGTGTGTGTGTGTGTGTGGTGTGTGTGTGCGTGTGCGTGTGTGTGCGTGTGCGTGCGTGTGCGTGTGTGTGCGTGTGTGTGTGTGCGTGTGTGGGTGTGGGTGTGTGTGTGTGTGTGTGTGTGTGTGTACTCGCCTATTTGTGGTTGCAGGGGTCGAGTCATAGCTCCTGGCCCCACCTCTTCACTGATTGCTACTAGGTCCTCTCTCTCCCTGCTCCATGAGCTTTATCATATCTCGCCTTAAAACTATGTATGGTTCCCGCCTCCACTACTTCACTTTCTAGGCTATTCCACGGCTTGACTACTCTGTGACTGAAGAAATACTTCCTAACATCCCTTTGATTCATCTGAGTCTTCAACTTCCAATTGTGACCTCTTGTGTCTGTGTCCCATCTCTGGAACATCCTGTCTTTGTCCACCTTGTCTATTCCACGCAGTATTTTGTATGTCGTTATCATGTCTCCCCTGACCCTCCTGGCCTCCAGTGTCGTCAGGCCAATTTCCCTCAACCTTTCTTCATAGGACAATCCCCGTAGCTCTGGGACTAGTCTTGTTGCAAACCTTTGCACTTTCTCTAATTTCTTGACGTGCTTGACTAGGTGTGGATTCCAAACTGGTGCTGCATACTCCAGTATGGGCCTGACGTAAATGGTATACAGAGTCTTGAACGACTCCTTACTGAGGTATCGGAACGCTATCCGTAGGTTTGCCAGGCGCCCGTATGCTACAGCAGTTATCTGATTGATGTGCGCCTCAGGAGATATGCTCTGTGTTATACTCACCCCCAGATCTTTTTCCTTGAGTGAGGTTTGCAGACTTTGGCCATCTAAACTATATTGTGTCTGCGGTCTTCTTTGCCCTTCCCCAATCTTCATGACTTTGCATTTGGCGGGGTTAAACTCAAGGAGCCAGTTGCTGGACCAGGCTTGTAGCCTGTCCAGGTCTCTCTGTAGTCCTGCCTGATCCTCATCCGATTTGATTCTTCTCATTAACTTCCACATCGTCTGCAAACAAGGACACTTCGAGTCTATCCCTTCCGTTATGTCATTCACATATACCAAGAACAGCACAGGTCCAAGGACTGACCCCTGTGGAACCC